GGGTGGGAGTTAGGACACATTGTTTCCAGAAGACCCCTGAGAAAATGAAAGCATCAGGGAGCAGCACATCCAGACGTGACATTCACCCCTCTCCCCCAGAGGAGCTCAGGGCACTAGCTGGGTAGGAGGGAGCGTGGTGAGGTTGGGGGTCAGAGGGGGAGAGAGGAGTTCCCAGAGCTGGGTAGGGGGCGCGCGCGCGCGGGATCCCGCCCCCGCGCGGCCTGCGGGACGCAAATGGGCCTGGACCGCGAGGAGGCCGCCAAGGGGGTCTGAAAGGTTTGCTGACTCTCTAAGGGAAACATCATTCTTCCCCTCTCACCTTAGGGGGGGTGGGGTGCAACAGGGGCCCAAAGTTACCCCAAACGCCTTAGGACATTCAAGTCCCCTGAAGTGCTTCCAAGTTCCCTTCCCTCAGGTTTGCTGGTGCAGGACAGAAGGCTCTAAACAAACACTCTGCAAACTCCCCCTGAATGTTGGCTTGCAAAATTAATGATCCTGAGGAAAAGTGAGTTAATCTTTGCTGCTTGGTTGGGGCTGAGAAGGCACTGTTTGGGGGGCTGGGCCTTGTTAATACGCCTGATCCGCGGAGGCCGCTCGCTCCCTCCCACGCTGACCCCACGCACAGGTGGGGCGGGGGTGGGGCGGGCACACGACACAGCTGGAAACCCCACCGCCGAGTCCCGCAGCCACGCGCGGCGCGCTCCCTCGTCCTGCAGACGTTGGCCCAGCGCTGGGGCGTGCGGGACGGGGCCACTCGCCCAAGAGAAGCCGGGAAGGGTGCGCGCCCGCGGCCGCCTGAGGGCCCGCTCCTCCCGCGCCGCGCTTTCCCTGCTCTCGCCACGCTCACGGTCTGCGGAGGCTGCAGGGAACGTTTCCTCACGTTTAAGCAGCACCCTCACGGGCTCGTCCATTTTAGGGAGGAACAGCTCTTTCCATAAGCCCCCGTCCCAGGTCCGCGGGTCCGCGGAGACGTTCCGGGGTTAGGCGGGTGCCCGGGGAGTCAGGTTCTCGGGGCGCCTCCCTGTTTTCTAGCCAGAGCCGCTGCTGCGCTGCGATGCTCGGCTCCCTTCCGCCGGGAAATGAAACCCGCGCGCACGCCGGACCCTCGCCGCCGTCCACCGGCCCCGAGGCGGAGGAGAGGCGGCAGCACCGTGCGGTGTCCCCGCCCGAGGCCCGGGCTGACCCGGGGGCGTCCGGGGCGTGCCCCGCAAAGCCGGCCCGGGAGCGCCAGGGGGCCTCGGCGCTCTGAGGGGAGCCCGTGTCCGCCCATTTCCTCGGGCCTTGGGGAGAAAATTCGCGAAGGGCACCGTCAGCGGGGCAGAAACTGCCACGGGTGTGTGTGGAGGGGGAGGGGGGGATTTTTCCGGAGGCTTCTCCTCAGGTCTGTGCAGCCTTTGTGCCCCATGACTGGGTCCTCGGAACGTAAACTCTGGGAAA